CAACCATTCAGGGTACTATCTGGAGGGAGAGAGGCTTTTATACCAGGGAAGGTTTGTGATGCCACGAACATCAGTATACATTCCTCACCTAATGCAGGAATTCCACGGCAGTGCAGTTGGGGGTCATCCAGGAGTGCACAAGACTTATAGGTGGTTGGCATCGGAGCTCTATTGGAAGGGGATGTATAAGGATGTTGAGGAGATGGTGGCAAGGTGTGAGGTGTGCCAAAGAAATAAGTATATGACAATGGCGCCAAGGGGATTACTCCAACCATTAGCACTTCCAAATAGAGTATGGGAGGAAGTGTTTATGGACTTCATCGACGGCCTACCCCTCTCAGAAGGGTTCACAGTCATTTTTGTTGTGGTGGACCGACTCAGTAAGTATGCACATTTTATCCTCCTACGACACCCTTACACCGCAGTATCAGTGGCGGCAGCATTTATCAGGGAAGTGGTTCGATTACACGGGATTCCAGAATTAATTGTGTCAGATAGAGACAAAGTGTTTCTCACTCAGCTTTGGAGAGAACTTTTCAGAATGCAGGGCATAATTCTCAAGAGGAGCACCGCATACCACCCACAGACAGACGGGCTGATAGAAGTGGGAGACATATTTGAGGTGTTTTGCTTCTGAAACACCACGGAAATGGGCTAAATGGTTGCCTTGGGCGGAGTACTGGTATAACACTTCGTACCATTCGGCATCCCAGATGACTCCTTTCAAGGTGCTCTATGGAAGAGACCCCCCACATTTAGTACATTATGGGAAGGGAAACACACATGTCTCTTCAGTCGAATAGTACTTAGAGGAGAGGGACCGGGTGTTGGAAGAGTTAAAGAAACATCTGGAGAGGGCACAACAAATAATGAAGAAGCGAGCGGATACACACAGAAGAGACATACAATATGAAGTGGGGGAGAAAGTGTTCTTGAAGCTAAGGCCCTACAGGCAGAAATTGGTGGATAGCAGGAGGAACGAGAAGCTGGCCCCGAGATACTTTGGACCCTATGAGATCTTAGGGAAGATTGGAGCAGTAGCGTATCGTCTGAAGTTACCCCCCTTCGCTACTATACATCCGGTGTTCCATGTGTCACTGTTGAGGAGAGCTCTGGGGGAGTATGCAGTTAGCGTCGAGTTACCAGCAACAATGACGGAGGATTGTGAAGTGATGTTAGAACCCCTCGAGCTTATGGGGGTAAGATCAGATCAAGAAGGCAATAAGGAGCCCACTTGGGGCTTAATGCATAGGTGGGAGGGAAAAATTTGAATGTAAGGGTTGTTTAGGTAATTTGTAGTTCTCCATTATTGTTAATTAGGAGATTAGGAGGGAATTGGGGATTATCTTGAATTTGAAAGAGAATTTGAGATCTAGGGTTTCTTGCTTGGGCTCTTGGCGTTGCCGGAGAATTGGAGAGTCGTTCTTCCTCTCGGATCGAAGAACAATTGTATCTTTGCTGTTTTCAATCATCTACTAGTGGAATACAAGTTGTTTCGTGCTTTTTCCTTCGAATTTCTCCCTGTTTTCCTGCGTTGGCTGCTGTCTACTGCTGAAAACAGCAGTTTTCCTGCTGTTTTCCCCACCGATTTCGATTCGGTTTGCTTGCGAACTCAAGTATTCCTTAGGGTTACTTGTGAACTCAAGTATTTCCTATCAACTTCTTTTATCTATTTCTGGTCCTCCATCTCTCTAACGTAAGCAAAGGTTTCCATGACCGTTTTCTTCTAATATTTCATAATTTTTAAATAGGTTCTCATGCTGTCAATTTTATACTTAGAGATGGTTACTTTCTTTTGTGGTTAGTTTTTATACATAGAGGTGTTCTGACCTTCGAAGCATGTGAAAAGTAGTTCTATGGTTGATAAAATCTTCTTTTGGGATGTGTCAATGCTTCTCCTTTTGGGATTCAATTCTTTGATCAAGTGTGAAAGTTGAAATTCTTAGAGAGGTTATCTTCTTGTGCAAGTGTAAATCTTGCTTTTTAAGTATCTATCCGTTTCCTCCTTTTCTTCTAATTAATTTTTTTTGTCATTCGTTGAAAATGATCAAATTTTGATTGATTTGTTGTAATTTAATTTTCCTTTGTATGAAATTTCTATCACTTGCATTTAGATTTCTAGTTAAACGCTATAATTTTTTTTTTTTCAGTTTAATCAATGGTAGCAAATAGTTGTTTTAAGATTAATAACTCTGTTTCCTGTAAAAATTGTACATTTGTTGCATTGTTTTTTTTCCATCTGAAACTACATTAAATGCTAGATCTGCATTAGGATTATAGAATATAAAATGACGTACATCAGATTTGATACAGCTTAGGTTATATCATAATAATTTCTAGTTGTAGTGCTTAATATCAAGTTTAGATAATTTATTGAAAATAAAATGTAATTTAACAAAAGTAATTTAGCTGTAATTTTAGATAATTTCAAATCAACTAATCTGAAATTAAGAATAATGTTTTTATTTTCATTGAGAGGCATAAGTCTAAGGTAATTTTAAATTTTATAGATATATTAGAGTGGTTTTTTAAAAGCTACAATGTACCTGATTTTTAAATAATTGTAATTTTACGTAATTTCAAAACAACTTATATTAAATTAAGAATACTATTTTTATTTTCATTGAGAGGCATAACTCTTAGGAAATTTTAAATTCGATAGATATATCAGCGGTTTTTTAAAAGCTACAATGTCTCCATATATATATATATACATAAAATTCAAATTCCAACCTTGTTTTTATATTAATTGCAACCATCTTCCGTTGGTTCAACTGTGCTCAACTTTTGATTGCTCCATTCCTATTATGCCTTGGACCGCAAGTTGGGATTCACTTGCTTTGCTTATTGTATTTTTTCCTTATACACCACTCAGGCCATATCTGGTTTGTGATTTGCTCAAGTTTTCATGTGCTTTGCTTATTGCCTATTTCATTTTTTTTCCTTTGTAGTCTGCGGTTTTCTTCTGTAGTTAAAGTTCAGGAGCAGTGGTTGGCGGTGTGGCCATAGAAGGAAATATTGTTTTCTATTGTTTTGATGATTGAATGAATAAGAATTTGCAATTATAAGCCAGGTTTTGGACGATCTTGTGAAGTTTTTGTTTTAGATATTTGTGTTATAAATAAGTCCCGAAAGGTATGTAATTTTCAATAAATGACTGAATAAAATTGTTGTTTTCCAATCAATGTTTACATGCTATTGGATAAGGATTATTTGAGCGTTTTATAAGTTTTGAAGCTAATTTTTTTGGGCATGTTTCTTGTCGTACTGAGATGAGACATGAATTTTTTAATTGGTGCTATCCTTCATCAAAACTATTTTTTGATTAGTTTATATGTGTGATTGAGATTTTAGCAGGTTTGTTTCATATTTTTTATTTTGTGATGTGTATTTTAATCAATGTGGAATTTTATATTCCTTCTTAGGTTTCTTCTGGAATTTTTGGAACGATTATTTTGTGATGTGTATTTTAATCAATGTGGAATTTTATATTCCTTCTTAGGTTTCTTCTGGAATTTTTGGAACGAATTAAGCGTATAACCTTTGCCTAAATTAAAACTTGAGGAATTATGATGTAGAATCTTGGGTATTTTTTTAATTTTATTTTAATTTTATTTTTTTTATTTTTGCGCATCTCATCCTTGCTTTGAATTATTGAACCTAAGATTTCTTACATCAAATTGGTAAAAGAGCCAAGGTCATATAGAAGTGGTGCTTAATATTAGGATAAATTAATTGATAACTAATGGGATGATATTTTGATTACTTTGCAAAATTAATTGAAATTTTGCTAGGAAATTAAGACCAAATGAGCATTGAAATAAATCAAATTTATGACTAGCTTAATACTTCGGTAGCTAATAAACTTCACTTGCAAGAACTGGATATTGAATCTAGCCTGAATGAAGAACATACTCACAACAACTATGTGAGAAATAATCAAGATATGTCATGAAGTATGTAAATGAAATTATGAAAGAAATATAGGGTAATCTTATAATGATGACATAATTAGGAAAGTTAAAATTAATGTGTCCATCATTGATGGGAGAATATATCCTAAGGCTTTTTCTAATGGGATAATGAAGTATGTATAACTTTTGATTAGTAATTGATGTCTAATGATCGACTAGTCAGATTTCCAAAACTAAAATTATTTGGACAAACTGGAATGTATTGGATGAGTGGAGAGACAAAGGGAATGATTAGGACTAAAATTTAGTGTTGTTTGAATTTAAATGACATTGTTGTTAAAAAAGATTAACATTATCTTAAATGAATGCTTGGTGAATTTAAATCATTGAAACAAGGGAAATTTGATGAGAATTTATTACGTTTTCAGAAAAGGAAGTATCCTAAACTATTTTTTTTTTTTTAAATATTTAGATCTAGTTTAAGGCATGAGCTTAAAAGAAAAATGGTGCCACATAACATTAACTTTAGGAAGCTTGAACAACCTAAAAATTTGCCTCACCCAAAAGAATTTATTCATATATTGCAAGTGGGAAGTTGCATGAATGTTGTTTGTAATTTGAATACTTAAATTTGAAAGTTAGAACCACACTTATGACCATACAAATTAGCCTGGGAATACACTCTTTTGCAAAGTTATTAGAAACTTGTATTGATGAACTCTTGGATCGTAGGTAAAGCTAAATATTAAAAAACCGAGATTTTTTAATTCCTGATTTTATAAGGCTCTTTTATCTACTTCAATTTCAACTCAACCTCTTGGCTGAAAAGCATTTTTGCCTTTGGTCCCTTTGAATTATAATCCCAAAACGAATATGTATTTATTTCCTTCATGCATATTTTATCCAACATAAGCGTTAGCTGTCTTAATATGTGCCAGATGTTTGATGATATGCCATTGAACCCCATCTATTAAAACATGTAATTGATCCAGCCATTTAATTTTCTCTACATTCCATGATTGATATACATGATGTGACGTTTACTTTCTCTTAAACTTCTAACATTTTTTCTTTAAATTGTTTCAGAAAAATAGTATTCCAGTGGTCTTGGTTGAGAACAGTGGCAGATGCAAGACTAATGATAGCGGGGAGAAGGTAATTCAATGAGCCCTCTCTCCCTCTCTCTCTCTCTCTCTCTCTCTCTCTCTCTCTCTCTCTCTCTCTCTCTCTTCATGCTATTTGTGTGCTCTCATCCTTCATGATACACATAAGATTTCATTCAGATTCTTCCAAATGGTATTGCATGGATCCCAAACTTGGTGGAAACAATCATCAATGTGGTAACGAGTGGCGGCCAATCCATCACTGTGGATCAGAAGTTGATAGAAGGGCCAAATCCAAACAACAGGGGAAAGCTGTTTATACCCCTTATCCTTGCCTTTCAGGTCACACATATGCTTACTTACTCTGCTAAAAAGCTTGTTTATAATTCTTAAATCTTCATCATTAATACTAATCCATGTCTCTTTTCCTCACCTGAACAGTACCTATTCGTTGTAAAGACCATCCAACGTTCAATCCAAGAGGATGTCAGAAAAGAAAACAAATCTCTTTGGGAGCTTCGTGATATTGGGGGTGGCTGACAGAAAAATCTGATCACTTTCTGGTGTTTTATTGAATGTTTTCCAGTTTTCTAGAGTTCAGTTCTTTTAATGCTGGCAACTTTCATGGCATTCGGATTCAGAGCAGCTTGCTTTATTATTTTTTTTAGCATTCTATGATGAATTAGAGATACTCCCTATGTTGATGCTGTTTACTTGAGAACTTTTGTATAAGATCTTTATGAAAATTTTCGTTTTATATGAATTTTCTCTCACAACATCTGTTGAGTAAGGGTCTGGAAAGAATTACAAGTATTTTGCTGAGAATTATTCTCTGTCGTGCAAGAGAAGGGGCTTGGTGTGTGCAGTTGATTATTTAGTGGTGTTTAAGTTCCAATAAATTAGCTTTAGAGATAATGATCAAAATGGTGTTTGATTATTTAAGTCTTATTTTAGCTTTTTTTTTTTTTAAAGAGAGATCTAAATGATCCTATGGAAGGATCAATTTAGTTCCGATTAATAGATTAAATTGATCTTTTATATTATCAGAGTTTATTGTAGTTTTTTAGAAAAAGTTAGGGGATCAATTAAGGCTTTATTTGGGATGGTTAAATTTTTATACTAAAAAGTTGTTTTACGAAGCAGTAATAAAGCCATCCGTCCTAACAAAAAGGATTTTACTCAATGATATTAGAATCTACAATTATTATTAATTGTAGGGTTGTCAATAAATGACCAAGTTTATCAACTCAATTTGGATATGACTTGAAAAGTAAATATTAAAGTTTTTTTTTTTATAGAAATGCCAAATGCATTAAAAGCAAAGAAGAAAACAACCTAGATACAACCTACTAGGTGATAACACCCCTATCACCATCCTCCACCAAAAGCGACAAAAAACAATGAGGCACCTTATTACAAGTGAGATTATCCCAAACAAAATCCCCATCCAAAGCTAATTTAGCACAATAATGTGCCAACTTATTAGCACTCCTATTACAGAAATAAAAAATGACAAAACCAAAATCTTTAAGAAAAGATAAGTCTTCAAAATTAGTTTCACTATACCTCCCATCCAAGTGTTCCACAGATTTCTGAAGATGTTGGATGACATTGAAATTTTCGCCTTCTATGAAGATACCTTTAGCTTCCAGCATTATATCTGTAATGACTACCTTCAAGTGTCGAAAAGCAGCTAGTTCCAATGCTCCTATATCCCAATGAGAGCATTTAACTCCAAAAGCTGAGAGAAACCTCCCATTATGGTCCCTAAATACACCACCAATGCCTGCCAAATAAGATTGTGACAATGCTGCATCAAAATTAAATTTAATCCACTCGGGTGGAGGGGGGTTCCAATGAGAAGAGATCAGCCTTGGCCGGTTAGAACCCAGTTTCCTGAAATATTGCCAAAGTTCAATGCATTTGAAGCCATACTGATAGCCTGCGAAGCAATGAAACTTGCACTGAATTCATCATCTCTATGTTTAAACTGATTTTTGCTTTTCCAAGAGACAAAAACCATAGAGCAGAATAAATTCCCAATGAACCGACTTGTACCAGATAAAATTTTCAGTTCAACAATGCACTGGCTGATAGAAGAAACAGTTGGGATACTGAAACCCCAAAATAAGAGCAATGTTGTTACTGAGATAATCAAAGAGCAATTCCCAACTAAGTGATTAGTGTTTTCAACTTCCAAACACCCCCTTGGACAAAAGCTATTGTTTAACACTTCTATAGCATAAAAAATCGTTAGTTGGTAGAGCATTGGTAAGTAAACGCCACCAAAAACACTCAACCTGAGAAGAAAGTTTAAGGTCTTTTATCCAACTGTAAACTTCATCCTTATCCACCATATTAGAATTAGCTAACATAGCCGAAATCATCTTCCCAGATAACTTTGAAATCATCTCTAATTGGTCATTACAATTGTTATGAATTTGAACTTGAGAAATGCAATCTACCATACACTGCCCAAACCATCTTCTTAACAAAACCAGGTTCCAATTCCCATCCTTAATAAATTCTCTTAAATTTGGGAATTCTTCATCAGAACTAGAAATTGCAATGAAAGTGGGCCATTTATCATGACATTTATCAAAGATCCAAACATCTTTCATAATGTCAATAGAAGATCCGGAACCAACTCTCCATCTAACCAAGGATTTGAGAGCCTTCATACCACTTGAGAGAATTTTCCAAGTGATAGAGCTGTTATTTTTTGAGCCTTCATTCCACATATTCCCGTATTTTGCTAAAATAGTTCAGTTAAGCAAAGAATTGGAGTTGCAGAGAAGACTCCAAGCAAACTTTGCTCTGAGAGATCCCGAGGCAGAAACTGAAACAGTAGAACACAATCCCCTTCCTCCTATAGAAACTGGTTTGCACAGTTCACTGCACCTCCAGGTTTATTCCATATAAAGTCTCTACAAATCTTGTCCACTTTTCTTAAAATGCTTATAGGAACCAAAGAATGAGTCACAAAAAAAAAAAAAAACCGGTATAGCAAGAATAACAGATTTAACCAGCACAATTCTTCCCGCTAAAGAGATGAATTTATTGCCCCAAACATTAAGCTTTCCTTCAATCTTTTCAATAATATGAGAAAAATCAGAGGATAACATTCTCCTGCATGCCATTTTGACACCGAGATAGTTAAACTCCTTTGCTTCTTTGAATTTGAAAAGCTTCAAAATCTTCTTCCTGGCACTTCTCCTTACCATTTTACCAAACAGCACATTGGATTTACCCATATTAACATCTTGTCCCGTCCAGGAACAATAACTGTATATAATATTTTTGATTCTTTTCATTTTGACCTATTTATTAATGAGTCGGGTCAACTTTAACTTGAAAAATGATTGATTTAACTTTTTTTGTTTAATTTTTTATTTGTTGGTATCATCTTCTTATTATGATCAATTAGCATAAAATTTTTGTTTAATAAGTTATAATTTCTTTTAATCAAAATGAGTTATCGAGTTTGGTTCGGGTCATTCATGTTGCTAGTAGGTTGGGTTTGAGATCATCTTTTTGACCCATTTATTAAACATGTTAGGTTTGGATTGATTGAATAATAATCGGGTCAATTTTAGGTTAGACCTGAACCCGACTTGTTAACTCATTTCGACACCTCTAATCAATTGATCAAATACAACAATCAATCCCATACAAGCAAAATTATGGTGTATGCTAAATGATTAAACTAGTGATGAGTCAATGGACTATGAAGCTCAATAGAAATGATAAACTCAACTTCTCAAGCAAATTAAATTTGTAAAATACTAAGTTGTAGATAATGCAAACAAAAAGTTATGTGATTTTGATCATCTGACCAACATTTTTCCTTGTGTAAACCATCCACCAACTTGCCACTATAAGTTCTAAGGGCAAGAAGTAACCATACTTGGTTCAATAAGCACACCTTCTAAGTTCCATTTGGCCTAATCCTTAAAAACAAAGCATAAGACAAAGCTCCCTTGAATTTTGGTGGTGACCTAAAAACAATAGCTAATAATGATATACAATATAATATCTAGATACAAGTTAGAAATAAACACTTACATTACTTACAAATCTTTTTTTTTTTTATATAGATTATAAGAGAATGACCACCAACTCATCGTCCATTAGTGCTTTGGATGAACACTTGATACTCAGTTTGATTTATCACTAAAAAAACCCCTTATAATGATTTTAAATTGAAAGGGGTATTTATAAACATAGTTGCCTATAAATTTTTCTAATGGCTACAAATAAATCCCAAGAAGACTTGTTAACTTAAAATTGTTGACTAGACGATCGTATATACAATTGTTGATTGAATGCATTATCTAAATGTTCATCCAAAGCTAACATCCAAATACTTTGATCTAAATGTTCATCCAATGCCTAAAAATAGCCTAAAAATAGTTGACTAAAATTATCTCAATTTGTTCGCTAACATCCAAATATTTTGATCTAAATGTTCTCATCCATTTCTTTTTATGAAAGAAAATCCACCTCTACTACTATAAAATTTCATCCAAAAATCAACAACAACAACAACAACATCAAGCCTTTATCCCACTACGTGGGGTCGGTTACATGAATCCTTTTTCTCCATTGTGTCCTATTAAAAGTCAAATTCTCGTATAAATCTAATAAAGAAAGGTCATTCCTAATATTTTCTAACCATGTCTTTTTAGGTCTACCCCTACCTTTCTTAACATAAGTCAAATCTAATACCTCTACTCTCCTAACCGGGTCATCGGAAGGTCGCCGTTTTATGTGACCAAACCATCTAAGGCGACTCTCTCTAATCTTATCTTCTACTGGAGCTACTCCAACCTTTCCACGTATATGCTCATTTCGTATCCTATCTCTAAGGGTAAAGCCACTCATCCACCTGAGCATCCTCATCTCTGCCACACTTAACTTAGTATTATGCTTCTCTTTTAATGGCCAACATTCGGCACCATAAAGCATTGCAGGCCTCACTACCATCTTATAGAATTTTCCCTTAAGTTTGAGGGGATCGCCCAAAGTCACAATCCCATCACTAGGTCTATTACTACTAAAATTACACTCCATATATTCCGTTTTAGATCTACTCAAGCGAAAACCTTTAGACTCTAAGGTTGACCTCCATAACTCAAGTTTACCTTCAACTCCCTCTCTAGTCTTATCAACAAGAAGAATATCATCAGCAAAAAGCATACACCAAGGTACATCCTCTTGCAAATGTCTAGTGAGAACATCCATGACTAAAGCAAAAAGATATGGGCTTAAGGCTGATCCTTGATGTAACCCAACCGAAATAGGGAAATACTTGGACAATCCACCTTGTGTTTGAACACAAGTAATAGCTCATGCATACATATATTTAATGATTTGAATATAAGCATTATTGACTCCTTTCTTTTCAAGAACTCTCCATAGCACTTCTCTTGGAACTTTATCATATGCTTTTTCTAAATCAATAAATATCATATGTAGATCCTCCTTATTTTCTCTATATTTCTCCATCAAACCTCTTAATAAATGTATGGCTTCCATAGTCGACCTACCCGGCATGAATCCAAATTGATTTTGAGAAACATTAGTATCACGCCGCAATCTATGCTCCATAACTTGCTCCCATAGTTTTAAAGTATGACACATTAACTTAATACCTCTATAATCCAAAAATATACCAATAAATTTTAAACTTGTCAACATTTTCTCTCCACCTTTCACCAACCTTTAATCTTCCAACTCTACTCTAACGACCTTAGAAATCTCTTAAAAATCTTAATA